CGAATAACGGCTGATTTTCGTGAGGCCAGGAACAATTCCACTTCCACTGCTATAGAAGCTTGTCCGTTGTGAACTCTTAAGAACGGATCAAAACAACCGTCGTAAATGTAAAAAAAACTAAGAAAGTCTGTTAAATCTCCTCAGATGTTTCTGTAGTCTAAAAACTGTAAATTTATGGTTTTTCCCGCTACAAACTACATATACTGAATAATGGCTGAAATAGTCGAGTTTTCGTGGGGTTAAGAATAATCATACTTCTACTGCTACAGAACCTTGTCCGTTGTGATGCCTASAASTCTCAAKTATCTTGAAGACTTCGACGTAAAACTTGRCGTTGACRGTTTGTCCAGGAGGAACAAATTCATGGTGGATGATGCCTTTGATGTTAAAAMAGACAATGAGCATCGCCTTCACTTTGGATTTGCAGGTCGCAGGTYTCCCAGCACGGTCTTTATCAGCGACCTCTTCGCGGCCCTCCAAAAAAGCCTGRTGCCACCGAAACAATATCAATAGCTGCAACTTATCACAATCAAATTTTGTCTCTTGGCAAAATACTCTCATTCTTGTAGAATACCTCCCCAGCGCAGTGGTTCAACTTATCAGCGATTCAATCTAAGTGCGAACAATTGCGAAATGCCCCACTCCGGCATCCTTAATGTGTCCGATTTTCCAGAGTCTGACGGCAATCATCGCAGCGATGCCAATGTCAAAGATGTGATGTATATAAAATAGCAATAAAATATATTTACGTACAGTTTATAGCTATGAATTTATATATAATATGTACTCACGCTCATTTCGATTAATGACCATATCTACCAAGTAGTACGAGTTGTCTCGCAAAATGCGTAGTCAGGTTYCTCCAAATACAGACATATCCGGACCTATTTAAATGGCTACAATAATTCAAAGTACAAAGCAATTTCCTTTGTCATAAAAATTTTCCAGCAAATTTTGATCGAGTATTAACGCGATTTCGACATCGACAAACCCATTACAAGTACACAACCGACTATCTATCTGCTAGTGTGCAAACAAAACAACCGTTGGCATCTGCCAATTTATGTGTACACATTTTGAAAATCATTCATTGCGAAAATGCATAAAACTATGCGTAAACAAGACTAATGAGTCGAAAGGATACAAGTGGAGACTGGCTAAATTCGAAAGAGTGCTGAGAGGTGCTGCGGGCAAAATGTTGTGGTAGTAAATTTGTATAAAATATATATTGGAGTAACACGAGGGATAAGGGTACTTAGTTGTACAACGGAGAAATAGAAGGAAGAAAAATGGCAGGATGTGTGGGCGGATGAGCGAAAGCAAATGCTGCTTTTGCTTCTAATGCTTTCGAAATGCTCGTATTGTTCTGTGGACTAGCTTTCGTTACAGCTGCACTTGTTGTTGTTGTTGTTATTGCCGGTAGAGGATATGAGACATTAAAAATCATCTTGATTAATAACCCAACGTTAGTCAAGCATAATATTGTCTAAATGAACGCAAATGCGCAAACATTCGAATGGCACGATTGGCCATGCAGCAGCAACTATGTATTATTAGCTTGGCTGTGGCACTTGCTATTGGCGCGGAGGAGGAAGTTGCAGTCCATGTATACAAACAACATAATGGTACGTAAAATGATGTTTAATAGACAAAAGGCAGTCGAGCTTTAGCAGCGGCGAAAATCAGTACAAAAGAAACAAATGACTGCTGATGAGGAATGTTATCGGTGCGGCAGGCGTTGAAAGTGTGAGGAGTGAGCAAATATGAAACGTATGAATGSCGATTTCACATACATACATATGCTTGTTTAAGTAACTTTATATAGTCCCTATGGGAAAAACTTAAAACCAACGAAAGTTGATGAATTGCTAAAATGGGGTAATTTTGTCAAGACGTTGCTAGTTTGTCGTGAACCAAATGTGTTCTCTAACTTTGACTACTGACCATTTGAAGCACTTAGCGAGACTTTTTTGATTTAACGACTCGTTTCGTTTGTCACGTAGCAATATTGCTAGCTATGAAAAACCTTAATATAACAGACATTTGGAGGGAACACTTCTCAAAACTTCTAATTTGCGAAAGCGGTGCTGCGAAGGATGAAGAARAATCCGAACCAACCATCTATCGCGACAATATTGTCTTTCCACCACTCCTTTAAAACAGTGGAAASAGCTCTGTGGCGGCTTAAAGCAATAAAGCCCCATAAGCCGATGGATTGCAGGCTGAACTGTTTAAAGTCGGCGGCGAGGTAAGGCTCATGTTCCAGCTGCTAAGCATGATTTGATCGGATGAATTTTATCCTCAAGGATAAATAAGAATAGGACTATTGCGTTATTTTTAAGATTGACGCTATATTTCTAAGTTTGGTATCTCTTCAAAATTCAGACGGTTATGCAGATGATGAATATCGAACAAAATGGAACCACGAAATGTATGAGCTCTACGGCGAGATAAAAATAGTTAAGCGTATAAAAATCCAAGGAATTCGCGGACTTAGTCATCTCTTTCGCTTGGAAAATTATGCTGTAGCGAACAACTACTTCGATTCGAGACCCATGGGTGGACAATGGGAAGAAGGAAGGACGCATCAAATGGAAGGACTAAGTACATATAGATCTATCTGTACTTGGGATGTRCAACTGGCGTTACCTTGCAATAGATGTGTTCTCAACTCAGAGGAATCCACTTTTATAATATGCAAGAAAAAGAAGTTTTRAAAAACCAAATGAAATATGATATATTATATATGATTTTAAAGAGTTGAAAAAATGTGCGATATAAATTGTTTTGAAGTTTTAGGGATACACTTTTTAACAGTGTAATTTTTGAAGAAAGGAGTTACATATTTGTTGAGTAACGCTCGATTTCCAACGGCGCTAAAGAGATTCCCGCCTTCTCCGTGTAGGAGACTTAAAACAAGATCCTAAGATATTGGCCGTAAAATAAGCTATGGTCAAAACAAAAATAAATAAAAAAGCAACGCCCCCCAACTTTCCATGCAGTACGATTTCCTGCAGGGCTTACACACCTAGTGCTGTTGGCGAGACTGCACTCTGGCTATCAATCTTCTAAGCTATTACTATACCCAAATGCAATAAAAATACGAATTTGCTCTTATGTACACATATATTTATAAGCATATTCGCTTGTATATACATATATACAAATGTACTATTTGCATAGTATCTGCTACATTAAAGCCGCTCATAYCGCCGGCTTCATGCCATTCACGAAGAGGAAAGAAGCAAATCCCATAAAATCTTTTGCCTGATTGTTTTTTAACTGACACGCAACGCTCAGGAATATGAATAGAAGCATGGCTTCCACATTTATTGTTTGTAAGTATGGTACAATACTTACCGTTTTCTGTTTTCCGAATTAAAGCAGATATTCAGAATGCGAACACCATTACATTGATTAAGTGCCAAGCATTAAATCAAAGTTAGTGAAAAATTTGCTAAAGCACAAATGAATGGCGGTCGCCAAATGGTGTATGCAGACAGAGATGAAGATCAAACCGAAGAACGAAGCGAAGGAAATAAGTGAAAACGTGAAACAAGTGTGTGCCTTACACTGAGCAAATTTTCGGAAATTAMTGTGAATTAAAGAAATATTTTAATGTTGACGTTAAATTCTAAAACTTTATTCACCAATTGGTCCAATTCAAATGAAATACTTATTCATGCACATTATAGGTAATTTTTCCATAATGTTGTGGTTGACTTTAAAACTAATTATTGCCGAAATTTCCGATTTCCTTTGAGTTAAGACATTAAGTCGCATATCCGGCAGTGTATTAAAACCGCTATGTGTGCCGTCCGTTAATAAAGAGTATTAGCTTCTGCTGCTGAAATCGAATTCCACGACATACATAAGTCATGGAAACCACCAATCTTTGTAATTAAGTAGTGCATACTCGTACACGTGTACCATGGTAGAAGCAATCCCGTTAAATGTATGTATGTACGTATGAGCGGATGTATATATAATGTACATATAAGTATGTTATGTACATTTATATTGTTGCGAATGCTTAAGTTAGTTCAGCACTAAATGCTTAACGCTGAGCTTTCGCAATTAATTCAAAGATTAATACCACCAAGGGGAGTAATTTCGCCTCTTGGTACATGCAGCATATACACACACGTACACAAATGCGGCAACTATGTTAYATACGTACATACATATGTATATGGTACACATATGGCGGCATAAGCGTATTACCAGTMCCGACTAACCGAAAGCTTGAGTTATTGATGCGAATGTACAAGCACTTCCAGTTATATTATTAACACCTACAAGCTATAGAACTCGAACTCGATACATAACAGGAAATTGGAAGTGATGGGGATTGGAATGACAAGTAATAGTGGATATGTAAAATGAAAACTCAGATTCTTTAATGATCCGATTTTCAGCACTTGATTTAATCAACTCGCATAATCATTTTTAGTTTTCGTCTCAGTACGGGATGTAGRACTGTRCAGGGTATGTTAAGTTTTCCACGATGTCTGAAGCGTCGGAGACTTTATAATATATTGGTCTTTAGTTATTTCTAGTCAACTTCAACTTATTTGYTTATGTTCATAATGAWATTAAATGARGCAAATATKTACAATTTTGGTCGACCATTTTTTGTCACTTTACCGCTAGAGTCAATATTTCAGCAGTGTAAATCGGCGAAAAACTGCGACAAGTAATTTTCACAGGCTCTCTTGAAGCCAACTTTACTCCATTAAGAGAGTTCTGCAGTGTACAATTGTGCAAAGTCCCAGCCAAGCTCTCCCAGTTTATGCCGAGTCATCAAAGACTCCTTCTATTGATCAGCCGTTTTTTCGATTGTTTGCTCCAATCTCAACAGTTGTTGACAGTAAAATGTAGAATCAATCGTTCGACCAGGCTGAAGCAGCTCATAGTGGATTATTCCTTTTTAATCCCACCAAAGACTCAACATAACTTTTCGAGGCGTCAATACAGGCTTTGCGTCCATTTTTTAAGCGTCAGCACCCTTAGACCATGACATTATTCGCACATTATTGTTGTATTTAATCCACTTTTCGTCTCTTCTTACCTTTCGCTTCAGAAATGGTTCGATTTCATTTTGTTTCAACAAATAATCGCAGATGTTAATTTGGTTCATTAAAATTTTCACACACAATTTATGTGGTACCTAAACTTCGTGCTTCTTTTTGTACCCAGGAATTTTTAAATGGTACAAAACCGTTGGATGACAAATGTTAAGTTCCTTAGCGATATGATGGCTGCTTATGTGACGGTTGTGGTCAATCTTTGCCATAATTTCATCGACTTTCTCCACGATGGGTCGACCAGAGGAGGTGCATATTTCACATCCAAATTTCTAGAACGGAAACGAGCGAACCATTGCTGTGCTACACGAATTGATGCAGCATATTCTCCGTAAACTTTCAAAATATTGCGAATTTCTTCATTATTTTCACTCGTTTTTGAACAGTTCTAACTTTTTTTTTCAACTTCCCAGAATTTAATTTTTTTTTTGCTTAAAGGAAGTTTGAAATCTCACATAAAAAAATATACGAAAAGCCTTTTTCGACTACCCAATAAATATCTAAATGGTCAGCAGGACGAGGTGAGTCGATTTTGCTATATCCGTCTGTCTGTATTTACTAGTGCCTYAGTTTTTGAGATATGGAATTTCTCTCCCTAAGTAATTGCTCATTTCTCGGAAACGCCGAAATTTGCCTACTATAGCATATTTCTGCCATACAGACTGAATGATCGGTATCGATTGCTTGTGGGAAAAGCTTTTTTATTTGACGACCCACTCTTGGCACAGGTTAATGGCCAAGGCAATGGAAATATGAAATAGTTCATTCAGGCGGTACATTATAGCCTCTTGATGTAATTAAAATGGAATGATCAAAGATCTTATAGCTTTTGTACTCCTTAAAAYTTATTTTTCAGTTTAAATAATTAAAATCTTATTCAGATAACTGCGATTGAAAAAAAAAAAATAACTTACAATTTTTTTCAAATAAATGCTATGATTCTTATATTTTTTCTTATATTGTTAGAAATACGAAAAGACTTTTTCGACTACCTAATATAAAATATTTAAAATGTATGTCTTTTTATTGCTCTCTCTTCTAGATCACGCATCAGTAGCAACGGGAAGAACGAAGGTGCCATTAGAGTCACAGCTTCTCAAAGTGGCCGTTGCTTTTCTGCTCATGGCCGCAACCAATAGCCTTTTCAAGCCCACAATGGAAGCAATTGCTCAAGCAGCAGAAGGAAGTCATTTGCAGATTGCGAGCAAAAGAAACGAAATCGCCACCGAAAATCGAATTATTTTAAAGCAATTCCAAGAAAGTAGAGCAGAAATTAATTTACAAACGAAATGTGTCAAAGAGTGTGAACCGACTGCACGACGTATGTTGTTTGAAATGCGGTGATAAGTAAAAATCATGAAAAGCTTTGGTTACAAATACACATAAGAATCGATACAAAATATTAAAAAAAAATAAAACAGTATAAAATATTATAAATAATATATGAACAACTTATGATAAGCTAAATGAACAAACATATAAAAAAACGTGTTTAAAGTGAGCAGTTCATTGACACCATCATCCATACATACAAATCAAATTAAGTCACATGATCAGTATACACACATACATATATGTCACRTATTACCATGCATACTCATAACCCAAAAACCGAAATTAAAATTAAGTGGACGTTAAGKGAGATCATTAAGAATAGTGAAACAAACGCTTAGCTAAGAATTGTACTGTAAGTAGAACTTTACTTTTTATTTATTATTTTTTATTTTTCACTTTTATTTAAGATTTATTTTCGTTATATGTAGTATTTTTGTCATTTCTCCTCAATTAGATGAACGGTTTTTTTAATATGATTTGATACTAAATTTTTTTTTTATTTTGCTCGCCTCTTTACAGTGTTGCCTTACTATTTCTTTAAAGTGATTTTTTAATAAGATTCCGCACCCCTTAAATTTCTAGCCCCCATTTTCACTTCTCTATTTTTTTGTTTCTTTTCCAAGAATTATTACTTACTTTACCCGCAATAATGGAGATCTAATTAAGCTCTTTAATTATTTCTAAGCGATAGTTGTTACAAGTGAAAGTAATGTAATATTTAAACAAACTGATGAAATAAACAATGTTTTYGTTTTATTTATAGTCTTTAATATGCAAGATAATTGCCAAAAGATTATAGGTAGATCAGTGTAAATAGTTTTTCATAACGAAAATAGTATGGTAAGATGAAACCCATAGGAAACGAAAGATAAAATAGTGAATATTAAAGTAAAAGTAATTTACTAATGATCCGTGGTCGGGACATGGAAGGAGATAAGCGTGATCGAATTCTAATGGTTGTCAATGGTTAAGATCGATTCCGGCCTAGGGAAAAAAGTTATGTCGCAATTATGTATAAAGAAAAATKTAACAAGCCGAACAATCTATCTTGAAGCATGTGCCAAGATAACTGTGAATTATACAAAAGAATAAGATAATCCATTTCATTGGCTTTCAAAGCACATACTTTTTCTGGAAGCAGCAAACCTACTGAAATCTATCTATAAATATAAACTTTGGCGCCCCCGGGGGGGTTTGGATGGGTTAGTAATGCGCTTGAGTGAAATCTAATAATCCCACAAAATACAATTATTCTAAAATTTATAAACTGCCATAACTAAGAATTAACAATAAGATACAAAACTGTGGTTTTAAAATATTTTAAAAAGTTGCCGCGGCCCTCTCACTTAAAGGTTCAATACCTCCCGAAACACTTAAGCCGATTCCGATAGTGTGAAAATGGGTGAAATCGAAAGATCGACATATAAAAAAACCAAACAACAACAACCACGTCAGAGATATAAAATATTACCGCCGAGATGGTATAAGGGGGTTTGTAGAAGCCTGAGTCGCCTTAGTGGGTGTGGTCCCGCCCACCTTTAGGTGAAATCGCATATCTCCGGACCTACTCAATCAATTTCAACTAAACTTGTTAGATCTCATCCTGATATTACTATATTACAGTGCGATAATTGGTGAAATTGGATTTCAAAAACGCCTTCTTTCCATACAACTCCATTCAAATTCGACCTGATTTTTATTTTTTTCCAGTGTACGGAACAATTTCCTATTATGCACTTTGAAACTCGGAAAGTATTTTACTCAGTTTCGATACTAGCAAGTTGCAAAAGAAATGTTCGGTTGTATCCGAATTTAGCCTTCCTCTTTTTTCATTGGGGAGGTTATAAAAGTTCTCACACAAATTAACTCCTTTTGTCTGCTAGTTGGGAGGTACGGGAAAACTAGAAAAGAACAATAAGAAAATTGAAATTTTTCAAAATGCAATTAAAGGGGTTATATTCGGTTAGGACATTGAAAAACATACACACACATGTATTTGTCATGTGTATGTAGTAAAGTGTTTTAGGCGTATGCACTGTGTGCATGAGTATTTAAAAGTTCGTAAACGCACAGCAAAAATTCAAATTGTTGCAGTTGTTGTACTTGAATGTCCGCACTCGTGTGTGACCACATACCTGTGAGTATTTCGATTTCTTTGTGCGGACTGATAATTATGTAACAAAAATGTTTATGGCTTTTTCAATTCTAGATTTTCAGATTTGTTGTACAACAAATCATTTTTCTCCATTCATTTCTCCCATCGGCATTTGCAGAACAATGAAAACCAAAACAAAACAGCAATTTCATTCCGAATGGAAACGAAACAAATGCTCGGTTCCCAAGCTGCTCTGCCTATACTCCTGGGAAGTCCATTTACATACATACACTTTCATATATATATATATCTACAAGTGTATGCATGTTTATGAMAGGATTTGCTCTGTTGGTCAGTTTGGTTGTAGAAATTTGCAAATWTGTTTCGCTGGTTTGTATGTGGTGTATTCTGTTTTGAGTTGTGGCCAATATACTTGTTATTGGAGTGCCTTTGTTTTTGCATTTTTCAATTCTTCTTTGCTGTTGTGCTTTCGTTATTTGCCGATTCTTTGGCCAATTTTGTCGGTCTTACTGGCACATGCGGAGAAACATTTCATTTTGACAGCAGCAGCAACAGCAGGAACTACATCTTTGTTTTGTATTTGTTTTTGTTGCTTTTCTGCTTGTCTGGTCAGCGGCATGCAACAGAGAATTTTTAATTGGCATCAAATTACGCAGAAATTTCAACAGCAATACTTTCTAAATTCTTCATTTCTATCTAGATTCTTGCTCAAGCCAGCTGCCTTTGTGTGTACAGCTGTCGGTGGGTGTGGCGTGGCGCTGTCTTTGTTTGGCTTTTGGGTGAGAAAAACTTTCTCTTACTTTGTTATTTGTATTGCTGATCATACGTATTGCATAAAAGTAAAGAAATTAAGCACAGTTGCATGGAATGTAACAGATTGTTATTAATTTGAGGCATTCCCAGCAAAACAAAGTAAAGTCTAACAAAGTAAGTATGTATTAGCCTTCTGAAAAAGATCAATATTTTGGTGGCAGGTAAAGAGAGATTAGGGGCTTACGATTTATTATCCATGTGAAATGGCGAACAAAAAAAAAATAATAATAATAAAAAAATGAGAAGCTTTATCGGGACAAGTCGAGAAAGAACGCATTTCATACCCAAAATATCCATCAAAACCATTCGAACGATCTCGTGAGAGAGATCGAGCTTTCTTGCCATCTCTTTAATACTTACCTAAGGATTTTCAAGTACCATGTTCTTCACTTCTTTGATCGAAGGTCGTCCAAAACGACACATGTCTTCAATTATCTCTCTCGACTGTAGTTGAAGRCTTTATACCACTCGTAGACTTRTGTTTTAGAATCACAGTAAGCCTTTTCCAACATTARCAACGATTCCGCAYATGAAATTTGGTTAGAAATACAAAATTTTAGAAAAATTCTTTGTTCGATCATTTTATTCGTTGTAAAAGTCACAGCCGAATTTTAAGCCAGAACGCAATGAATACCATAGATCAGTCACCGTATTCGCCAGATTAAGCTCCGTGTAATGTTCCCCAAACTGGAACCTGTGGAACCCGTTTTCAATCGATAGAAGAGATAAAGCAAAATTCGCTAAAAGAGCTGAAGGCCATCATTGCTTAAGTGTATTACATCTGGTCGGAATCTGGTCGGCGGCAAAAAAATATTGGAGTTACAATATCCGTCTGCTTTTTTATATAGAGTTGGGTCTCACACACTGTTTTGGGGTGCACTAGCCCTTATCGGTTGTTCATAAGCTATAAAATTAGCTACTTTAACAGTAATATTTGTTTAAATACCTGTCTGAATAGTATACTCTGTGCTCGAATAATTTTCTGACTTTGTTTATTAATCTGTTTACTTTGTATAGTGTCACGTTTTGTTCGAAATATTTCAAATTGTTGTTCCATTACAGAACACACTAAATTCTGCAAATTTTTCACTTTTCTTTTAAAATTGAAAGATGCGTAATTTCATGAAGCTCTGATTAACAAAATAAAAAGATGCGTTTGCGCAAACTTTCAATATTTGTATGATTGGATTATTTCTGTTTATATCTCTATGGATATTATTAGTTCACATATATACATAAATGTAGTATGTGTGCATATTTAAAAACACATGAAGCTATTAAGTTTTTGGTTTTATATTTGTTTTCGTAACAAACTGCAGCTCGATTTTTGATTGGTTCACAACATTGTTTCATTTTAACTCCATTGCAGGCGAGTGTACTGTGTGTTGGAACGCAATAGTACACTGTGCGTTTGTTGTGTGTCATTTTTGATGTTATTAGCATAATTTTACACCTAAACCTCAACGGCTACTATGCAATTTACAGCTTTGCTTTTGTCGCTGTTGTTCCATTTTCCAATGAAATGCGTTGACAAAATATGATTAAGTGCGAAACACATTAGAAGCGTAAACGCATAAGCATGCAACAATGCAGGCGTAGTTGGCGCACCTTCATACCTAACGTGTATGCACATTAGGGTGCTCCTTATTTACACTTTTTTTTTTTATATAAAACTTTGTGTAGCGCTCTGTTCTTATATTAAACAAATTTACCAAAATTTTTGAAAAAATATTGATCTAAAACAAAAGTGTGCGCTCTACGAAAAGAGTAGTTTTTTTTTTTTGTACCAAAACACTCCTTTAAAATTTATACACAGTTGAAAGTTATAGATCAATTGACAATAGCCTCATAAATTGTTTGTTGCTCATACGTCAAGGTGTACCGCATATGCGCCAATGTATTCGAAAATAGCAGGCACCTTAATGTTATTATATGTTTGTACATGTATGTACATTCATGTTCGTGCATACTTGCATTGCTCTGTGCGAGTACATACGCGTAGTATCAATTAGTTGGTTCGGTCTGCCTCGTTATTCAATTTCGAATAACGATTTTCCTCTTACTATCTAAGTTAATTTGGGTGGTGACGGCAT